CGGCGTCCGCAGCAGATGCGGCAGAGGGGAAGGGGCGATCACGGCATCAGCAGGGCGGCCGCTGCATTCGGCGAAACAAAGACGGACAACAAATGGCATGCGGCAATAACGGCGGAGCGTGGCGTGGCGTGGCGTGGCGTGGCGGAAGAATGCAACGGCTTGTCAATAGCAAACAGCTACCCGCCAGGGGGTGCCCCGCCTCGGCCTCGCCGCACTACAGCAGTAGTATTAGGGAGAGCTGCCCCGCCCCGTCCCGGAATGGCCAGAGCCCCATCAGATGCCGGTTTGTTTTGCAAATTGATTCCTCTCTGGGCAACTCCCTCTCCCTCTCTCTCTGCTGGCAGGACTGCTAGCTCCCTCGCCCCCTCCTCTCTCTTCCGTGGAGAGAGGGCGCAGCAGGCGGTAGTGCGCAGCACCGCGGCCGCGGCGAGAGCGACCCAGATCCGTGCGGCCACGAAAAAGTTGGCCGCGAATCACCTGCTCGCCAACAACAATCACTTGGACCTGTCGGACGCAGTGCCAAAGTGGCGCTGGGGGCTCCCACGACGCGGTTGCCGCCCGAGAGGTGCGATCGTGAGGCTGTGGCGGCGGTCTCGGAGCAGCGTCGAGACAGTCAGCGAAGTCACGCTGCACTCCAACGAGGAAAAAATGCAGCCAAGGTGGCTTTTTCTTTAAATAGCAGCTGCTCATCACAAGTTTTAATATGGCCCTTACCTTAATCTCCTCGTGTACGTCCCACACCAACAACTGTCAAGTGTTCGCTGTTCGAGTTTCTTTGGTAGCAGAGCTCGTCGAAATATTTAGAGCGCATCATCACTGTAAAAAAAAAAAAACATGAGACATGGAGATGTAAGTTCAGACAGCCATAGCAGTTTGGAGAAAGAAGCAAAAAGTTCTGTCTCATACGTTTGCGTAATGGACACAATCCCACATCCGCAAAGAAGTCATCGCAAATGTGCAATCCCCTCCACCACGCAAAAAAAAACAAAAAAAAAAAACTGAAAGAATGAGTGTTCTTTGATACTCTGCGAAAACTGCTTTGCCGGGTATAGAAACATTTTTCATGGCAGGTGTCGTGCACGGTTACGTATCGACTTGAAATTCATTGAAGGGCAAGCGAGGGCAAGAGGGTATATTTTATGTACAACATATTTTGTAAAGAGTAAAATTCAAACTTTTCTTGTTCACCTACGAACATATTTTTTACATTGTATTTTGTGCTTTTTCCAGACCGCGACTTCTGGTACGAGGAGGCGCGCGCGGCGCTGCGGCAGCGACTCAGCCTGGCGGGGCAGACGCGGCCGGCGCCGCGCGCCAAGAACGTCATCCTGATGGTGGGCGACGGCATGGGCGTCTCCACCGTGACGGCGGCCAGGATCCTGCGCGGCCAGCGCCAGGGCCGCCCGGGCGAGGAGGCCACCCTGGCCTGGGACCGCTTCCCCACCGTGGGCCTGGCCAAGGTGAGTCACCACCACCCCGCGCAGTCCTTCCCCCCGTTGCGGCCATTCTTCTTGTTTTAACGGTTTGCCCCTCTCGCCGCCCCCGAGAAGGTGCCCTTTCCACTTTGCCCGACGAATATCCGCCCGGCCGAGCGCACAGTTGTGGCGAGGGATATAGAGGGATGAGGTCATTCCATCCCCCCGCAGTTACGGCCGAGGCCGGCCTAGAGAGCGAAGCCCCCGTCCTAAATCCATTCTGTTTACGAATGAGGGCGACTGACTTTGCCGTCGAACGCTAGAGAGAGGGAGAGTAGGGAGGTAAAACTTTTAGTGGGCCTACTGCCGGCTTCTGCCGCTATATCCATGAAGGTCGAGAAGGGAAAACAGAACGTCCCGCGAGATATGCGGCGTGGGCAGCAGCACCAGTCAAAAATCTACAGCTGCGGCGATGGCGCGCGCTCTAAAGTTCGTCGAGTACACTTCGCAGCGCGGCCAAAGATGCCGGCCAATAATCCCGCGGGCGTTTCTCTCGAACGCATTTTCATCTCCCACTGGCTTATTTTAATTTTTTCACCTCCCTCCCTCCCTCCCTCTCCCTCTCTCGTCTCGATACACCCGCGCGACGCGGGACTATCGCGAATGTTATGCCGCAGCGAATGCGGGGGAAATATATACGCCGTGCAAAATTTGAGTCCCCACGCGCGTCCGTCCCGCTGCGGCCCGGGCCTTATCGACTGCGAGCAGCAGGCCTGGCCAGCGGCACCCCCTTCATCAAGCGTTTTGACAATTCGATACGAGAAATAACGCTTTATTGGCCGGGTTTTGGCGCTGATGAAGTGACCAGCGCCCTGTTCCGCCCCTGCTGAGCTCCAGAGGGGAGCGAAGGGCTGCCTCCGCGACGACAGCCAGCGCGTCCCGCTCCGCACCTGACTCAACAACACCCGATCGTCCGCACGCAGCCCCCCCGTGATTATTCACAGTAATAACGCAGTGCTTTGTTTACAGCAGGTATAACGAATGCGCGCGCGCGCGCTCTCTGGTCGGATCGGCAAACCGGTCGGACGGATAAACGCGCGCGGGGCGGCGGGGAGAGGTGGAGGACACACCGAGAAGCAGGAGGAGATGGGGGGGGGGGGGCGACAGGCCTCAAGCGACCGCACCTTCCCGTGGACTTGCCAAGGCGATGAGCTGGTAGTTTGAGAGTGGAATTAGCGAGCGGGTAGGGTGGCGATATCTATCCTCCCCACCCCCTCCCGCCCTCGTGATTAGGGAGAGCTGGGTGGAGGGGGGGCCAAACCGCACACCCGGGCGAGCCGGCCGCGCACCCGAGGAGGCCTTTGTGCAGCAACGACGCAGAGGCCGCGGTGATTGCGTCGTTTTGTCACACGCCTCCCCCGCTCACCTCCCTCCTTTCCCTTTTGCTCTCTTTTACGCGGGTCGCTCGGATCTCATTCCTTCTGTACAAGGCCCCCGCCCCGCCCACTCCTCTCCGCGGGCCCGGCCCATTCGTTTCCCCACCAGACCGATCCCACCGATTGATTCAGCAAATCTGCGCCGC